CGACTTGGACAGTGAAAGCCAGCTGGACTGCATCTGCGAATGGACCTTCGATGAATGATGAGTCCTTCCTGCAAGTCTACGAGAGCAAAGTCCCTCGTCAACGACTCGCATGGGCCACTATCCTGCCAGATGTGGGGAGCGGGGAGTGTCGAACTGGATATTTTACTAACTGAATATCAACAGCAGTGCGGTGGACGAAGCCAGAAGCTGAGGACAGCTTCACTCCTAATGGGGAGGCAGTGTGGAGTCGGATTAGGGCGCAGACATGTTGGACCACCTGGCCGCAGCCAATCCTGTGTCTCTGTGTTCCAATGGCATACGAGGATGGTAAGCAGCCAACCAGAGAAGGACACGACTGAAGTGCAGTATATATTGAGCGGCGTGGCCAGCGTGTGGGACTGGGATGGAAGGCGCCTGACGCGTGGCTCTGGCTCGTGATTGGTCAATAAAGCCTGTTCTGTTGTACCAGTCCTTTTCCTACTAGGGCTCAGGTATCCTACATTGGTGGCAGCGGACACGTTCGAATTGCGCTAATCGGACCCCAGCCCTTTCCCTAAAATGGTTAACGGAGGCAAGGACCCTTAAATGCCAGCTGTATTTGTCATGGCGTTCATCTGATGTCCCATACAGTGGATGCATAGACATTGCCCGGGATTAGGACTACCGCATCTGAAGAGACATTGGCAACTCAAAAACGACGACATGGACAGCAAAAGCCAGCTGGACTGAGAGTGGAGAAGGAAACTGCCATGGATTAGGCGGCCTTGTAGCAGGTTTACAAGAGCAAAGTTCCTCGTCTACTATTCGCTTGAACCAGCATCCTGCCAGAAGTGGGGTGTCGAGGAGTGTCGAATTGCATATTTTACCAATCATCAACAGTACTGGAAACCGAGCCAGAAGCTAAGGACAGCTTCTCTCCTGAGGCGGAAGCAGTGTGTCGACGTATGAGAGCGCAGACAAATTGGTCCACACTGACCTTCAATGGCATGCGAGTAAGATAGGCCGCCAACCATAGAAAGACACGAATGAAGAGCAGTATATAATGGGCGGTGTAGCCAGCGTGTTGGACTCTGATGGACGGTGCCTGACATGTGGTTAGAGCTTGTGGTTGGTCAATGAAGCCTTGTCTGTTGTACGTCTTGGACCAGGATCTGATCAACTAATTCAGTGTCATTAAGCGTTTGAATGGCTTGCAGTCAACTGGGAAGGATGCGAAGCAGTGTCATGTGTGATACTGCCAGCGTGGTCAATTCGGATGGACGGCGTCTGACAGAGGGTCCTGGCTTTCTGTTGGTCAATAAAGCATTCCCCCTGTCCATTCCTTATTCATACTAGGGCAGAGATATTTTACGTTTGTTAATGTGAATCGAACCCCTGCTTATAGCTTTAATGGAAGACAGAGACAAGCTCTATGTCTTTAAATTGCTTTCTCTGATGATAAGCAACCGGCGAGGTAGATGGAAAAGTAAAATACGAAGGACTCAGTAAGTAAAATGGATTCAAATTAAAGTCTCCTGATGGACGTTTACAGTCTGTGGATTTCAACAAAGCCTAATCTCGTTCGTCTTTTCTTCATACAAGGCCTCTTGTTATTTATTAAGATCGCAACGCCAAAATTAAGGTCAATGGCAGATTAATAAAGTTGCACGCAAATCAAAACTTAAACCACCCATCAAGTGAGGAATTCCTTTTTGTCCCACTAGTAAAGCATCAGCACACTACAGCTAGTATAGTAAAAACGTTAACATGGTCACTGAGTTTCTTCCTTTTGCGTGATTGGCAAAATAATTTAACTGATACTGATTATCTGCATAACTCTAGCTGTTGATTCTCCTATCCCACGTTTGACTCGGGATGTACATAATTGAAGAGAACTATCAGGTTGGCAATGTTGGATTTGGATTTTGGATTTAAACTAGTAGAGTGGATAGTTTTCGCGTCATAGCGTCTGCTATACTTCAGTGTTAAACATTTAAATTAAGGTTTTTTAGATCAATAATCGAGGAAATTAAAACGCAGTTATATAAAAAACAGCAAACATAGTGCCTCACAAATGGTAAGAAATGCCATCTTCGCAAATTCAAAAAATAAAATTGATGCCATGTTTACTTTGAACTAGCATCCCATTAATGAATCTAGTGGAATTTAGCTAACAGTTTGGCACAATTGCAAAAAAATTATATCTCATATCTTCCACTAACATCAGACTTCTTGAGCATAACGCAAAATTGTAGTAATGCACACTGCTGTTAAGCAAAATTGAAGTGTTTTATATGCACAACAAGGCGCTTTTAATTCAGCTGTCGTAGAAATCATAAAATGGCATTTAATATCACGTTTGTTTGAAATTATCAGCATAGACGTAAAGGTATTTAAACAACCTGAATTTTAGCGCTCTTAGCAGCAAACCATTAGACAGTTTTCTGCACACCACAAAGACAGGATAACCACCTTAATGCCTCTAAAATTATAATTATCTCATCACAAATTATAATTTGGTTGGCTTAGTAGCTTCATCGACAGAAAATACTAAGGCAAAATATATGAGGAACAACAAGGTTTTTGACTTTTGCGTCTACAATAATAGTAGCGTGGACCTACGTCTGTGCCCGAAATTTCAAGGCTAAAAACTCCAATAGAGTTTTGATCATTTCTTTACCTATTAACAAACTTTTTTATCCCCAGTAAAGCATGTAAAAATATTCGCCGCATAATTCTAATACTCATGTTGCTTAACTATTCCTTTACTCGATGATGAGTGATGTGAGTAATAACCTAGTCTGAGTACTTCGAGATCTTTTATGTGGTCTAGTCGAAATATAATTCAATGTTGTTTTATAAAAGTCATAAATCCGTCTCCACTGAGTAAGGCAAACGACAAGTTGATAGCAATTTTTATTGTATATGATTTCGCTGAACACTACGTGCTTATCTGTACACCTAAAACAGTATTTAATATGCTATTTGCGTTGGCGGCCATGAAGGAACCAGGATATCCATATCTTAACATCTTCAACAACTATTAAAATACGTACACTTTCATTTCACTTTATTCTAAACCGAATGAAGACAGGCTTTAAAAAAAATTGACAGCAAATTTCGATCGTGAGTGAAATATTGAATAATACGCTCCCTTTTTTCCCATCGAGAATTTCTTTTCGATCGAATAATATATCTATCAACTTAGCTTCAAAAAACAGACGATCACATTGTATGGGTGACCTCACTGTGCTTTTCTCGGTTTCTATGCTATAATTTATGCTTCAGTGTGTATTACGTTTAAATATTTGAAAATTAGCTTATTACTTTAGATATAGTTTTAAGTGAATTCAAATTCACACCAAATGTCCCTGCATATGAGAAAAACGAAAATAATAATCCTAACTAAAACAGGCAATAGCGTTTTATCCTGGTAGCTATATTATCAATAATTGCTTTGACGTAAATTATGCTAAAGTAGGCAATATATTGCAGCACTACTATTCATGTTTTAATACAAAACATTGAACGATGAGGCTCATCTTGGTGGTTTACCTTTTTCAGTATTTCATTTATACCAATACTCCTGCAACTAACAAACACCTTCTCATTTATTTATTTATGATCACTTGTAACAATTTTAAAGGCAGATACAGATCCAGCACCTCATCATTGAAAAACCTTTTCTACTGAGCCACAGATAGACGACTTTTGAAGTTTATTTGTCAGGCTATTTCTTCAATATCTTGATTGTCAATAAGATGCAAGTTTTATTCAGGGTCAGGTTTAGTCTTGTAAAAGGGATCCGCTTGTAAGTTGGGATAATTTTTCTTACCTTTATTAACGCTATTTATGTCGACGCATAAAAAGTATAGCATTTTACAGTTTAATGAAGCAACCAAGGAAAATTGTTTGCATTAAATTATGCTCAGGGCTTTACCTTAAAGTAGTAAGGATTTGCATTTCTCAAAGAGGCTTGTATTTTAATGAATTCGTATAGAAAATGCAGGGCATTAAAAGAAGGCCACAACGCCCTGAGCCAATTTACCAGTTCATTTTTAAAATCAGCCCACTATCTGCATACTAGTGTATACTGAAAAAGAATGTAAAGTTTTGGGAATACTGCTACATTTTTGGAATGCGATTGCTTATTATAACAGACTAGTGACATCACTGTCCCCTTTAATTCGGCTTACAAAAACATTAGAACTAGTTTGCCAAGTTGAAAGTTAACGTATCATAGCTTAAACCGTGTTAATTTAGCATTACTATTAAGTGACACAAACACAGCCCTCTCCGTAACCCAAAGTGACATTGACAAGTATGCCTACCATTGTCGGGGTTAGTCTATCACACTTAATCTCAACTGATAGCCGTTATTAAATTTGGTTAAGTGGAAATGCGTCAAAGCGCCCACTTAACTAAGAAGATTGGTATAGTAAAGGTACTAATTACCTTTGACAACGTCGTTTCCCGGCGTGCTAACAAGCGGAGATTACGTATGAACATGGTATGCATGGATTTAATATCACCGTCATTCGTTCGACTCCAGCGCCCGAAAATATGCAAAGAAAACTACTCCAGTAATGTTTGCATCTGGCTACGAGTGTAAATTACAAAGCGTGCAACCAAAAAGACCAGATGTTTATTTGCCTATTAAGGTATACCTCGGGCGTGGTTGCGTCAAGCAACATCTTGGACTAATCCGACCACCTGGCAAGGGCTCGTCCCCAATTAAATTCAGTCCCTGGTAATGTTACTGGTAAAGCTCCATTGTGCAAGCGTATGCCTCACATTAGCAAGACTCCGCATTCACAAATTAACATTACAAGTGCATGTGGCTGAGTATTGAGTGTCCATCTACCAGAGGTGTGTTTTGGCAACCCGACTGGGGGTAGAACTTGCATGGTCTAGGTACTAGCGCAAAATAGCATTCTTGAGCAGAAAAGCAAGGCATTTTGACAAAATTAGTGCAAAAGGTCGCTGTCCAAAATATGATAAAATTAATCGTATGACAAAATGTTGATCCATCTTGGTATGAGATCCGTCGCCGATTTGGAATGCCTGGGCCTCCAAAACGGTTGCTGCAGAATTAAAGTCGCGAGAGCTTGATTATGCTGCTTGAATAGCGAGGAGTCGACTGAATCTAAAACGCTGAGGTCGTATGGACGTCCTTTTTGTGCCGACAGACACCACTGCCCAAGAACGCCCACATCTGGTTTGAGCAGCTGTCCGGCTTTCGGATAGGGCCCACCAGTTGCACAAAAGTAGCCTTTCGTGGGGTTTTGTCTTAAGAGCAAAAGCAAGAGAGTTGGTGCACTTGGATCACCTACATTTTCGCATAACGATGTGGTTTATGTAAGGACATGGCTGAAAACAACATGTTTACTCCCAAGCAAATAGTTTAAAACGACTTCTATGAATTCCGACTTAGCATTGCATATTTTTTGCACCCTACAAATGACAAATAACCACACTTAGTATCTCACATTAATCTTCAATATTGGCTATTTCTCGTAATTCCGGACATTAAGAAGAATGTGATTTTTATATGGACTTACACTAATAGCTTAGAGTAATCCAGGTACGTTGGAACGTCCAAAAATTCCTGCAGGTCGCGCATAACTTCAGAAGGTGTGGATTCTAATCGTTCTGCCTCTACTAGAGCAATCTAAAAGCACATTAGACGGCAACGATGAAAATCGTAAATCCTACTAAGATTCCACAAGTTAAACGACGCGGTGGTCAAATTGCAATTTCAGTCTGTTTTGCACGCGGTGCAGACCTCAACTAACACGCAAACTACCCCATGGCTCAAAGGAGGGCGATAGCCAAAACAGTCACCTCGGGGTCATCAATATTTAGGCGTACTAGCGCCGCGTTTATGCCACCACGACAAAGTCAGACCTGGTGCATTTGGAATCGCATACACAAGTTTTGCATCCACCTATATCACACAGACCTTTACGTACACAAAGTCATAACCTCGAACAAAATTAAAAACAATTTTTGCGCCCACTGCCCCGAACGTTCCGGAATGCTTGATTACCACAAATACTAGAACCGTGATAAATAAAAACGCATGTGGTTTTCACATACCTGTCTTGCATGATAGTAGTGAAGCCAGTTCTTTAATCGATCAACGTAGACGCTAGGAATAACGCACTTCAAATGCAACCGGTGGAGCTCCATGGCAAGTCGAGTGATATTTCCCGGGTGTGAGATCCGAGCTACCATCTGAGAGGCCAATTCAATGCTGAAAGCTTGAAGAACCTCGTTGAAGGTGAATAGCAACGCTGCAGAGACGTTGTGTGCTCGTTGGTGCTAAAAACATTTGTTTTAACAACTCTTTCTAGTAAAGAAAAACATGTGCAAAATTAAACAACCCCTGTATTAGGCTATGATTGGCACGCTAAATAAATTTAAATAGTAGTTTTAAGGGAAACATCACACTTCTGTAAAAAAAATTGATGGATTTAAATCAACGCAAATACACTAACTCCAGACACATATTTCGTGATTGATTCGTGTATTTATAATTATTTCATTTAGCACCCATTAGTAGTTGCTAAGGCACTCAAACGCGATTTTAATCAAAATACCTTCAGGTTGTGCAGTTTGTAGGGATGCGAACGGCGACGAAAAACTACAATTTAAACCGGTCATACATCTCCAACCAATGATCTCCACCCAACCAATCAACAAGGTAGGAAAAAACTTCTCTAGTCGACAAATCCCAACACGCTGATGCATCACAGATTAGGTTGCAAACTGGGAAAGGCAAAGGCAATAACCCACTTTGATCTGCCTAATTGGCCACAGGTTGGGTCAGTACAATGATCTTTTAAATCAAAGGGTAAGTGAAGGGGGCAACTGCTGCGACAATTACTAAGGCAAACATTCAGACAAATCAAGAAATGTCGTTGTGTAACTAGAAAGCAGGTGGATTACATTCTACTGTTTTCTATAAATACTTCGTGTGAATCTTTAATAATCCAGAAATGACAAGTACTCAAGTACCACTCTTGGTAATTCCATGTTAATCTCTAAATCCAGAAGTGCAACCCTCTTGAATTTGTTACCTAATTCATGATAAAGAATGCAACTTTAACACAAAATGAAGGCCCAGTCCAAGTAGTGCACAGTTGCATACATCACAAAAATTTAGATGAAGCTAGAATTATGTCTGAATTTACCTGGTACCACGAGTACGCCCTTCGAACTGGTTCACGCAAAATGACGATAATTTTCGCCCCTGGTAATAAGGCTGCCATCCGTTTGGGAGCAAGCAAAGAGTCATAGTAGGTAGCTGACTTTTCAAAGTGAATTCGATCTCCTTGATTTCCAGACCCAAGGTTAAATTGCTCAGCATAGAAGGCAACACCCTTGGTGTAAATTGTGCTATTACTGAAAAACTGTATCTCTTCAAATGGTGGTCTCGTGAGGAATCGATTGGGAGCTAGATTCGGATGCATTGCCATAAAAGCAAGCAGCGCAGTAGAGCCTAGTAAAGTCAAAACAAGAAGTCAGGGAAATTGATGTAAAGGTCTAGGACAGTGTCCACAACAGACTGAAGCTACTAGAAGTGCTTGCCAACTCAAAGACCGATATTCATGTCAATTTGCGCTCTCAGTGACATAAATAGTCCATGCCTGTTTAAGACACTACAATATTGTCAGGTGAACCGACGACGTTTCTAGCTCGAAGCATGTAATTGAGATAACTTAAAGTTAACAGTAGTTTTCGTCAGAAAACTTTCGAGGGTGACAACAGAGGAAGAATCTAAAGGGTCAGGTCAAATAACATCATTCTAAAAATGTACTCAAAATTACGCAATGGTGTAAGCAGGCGGACGAGAGACGTTTGACTAAAAGTGTGAGGTAAAAGATAACAAACGAACTAACCGGTTTTCTGTGGACCAACGATAATGGCCGAAGGAAGTCGGTGGGATTCGGGGGTACAAGCCGCAGGAGGCCATATGGCCCTGTGCCTGGGGTCACTGCAAGGGTCTCCGTGGATCGGGAGGGAGGTTTCAGTGGCTGGATTCTCAAGAGGATTAAAGGCCAAGTGGTATTTCACCAGACGGGCTAAAGGGGCCCATCGGACTTCCAGATTGGTCCACCCACGAATGAAGGTGAAGGCGCGTTCAAACACATAAGGCGCAAGTCGGTCTTGTGCGTAGTTGCCGAAATGCGTCATGAATAAACTAACCTTCGCAGTAGAAAGCAGTAAAAATAAACTTCCCTTAATTTAAAAACCACCGGCCTCCTACTTTCTACATCTAGCCCAATACTGGAGAGTTGATGCTACCTGGTTGGTACCACTGGTAGTTGTCTAACCACCCAACTAGAGATCCGGTAAATCTAATCCCACTTCATGCAAGATTACAATATTGTGGCGGTAAATAGAACTCGTTAGTAATTAGCCTCGAAGCATAACAAATACTAAATGACATAATGTTCACAGACAATCTTATGGGAATTCAATATGTTAATAGTGAGTTAATCTGCAAAACCATCCTTACCGGATTAAAAAGGAAAGTATCAAATAGATCGCCTCCAAAAGCCATGCCATCTAGTCGCTTGACGCCTCCTTGGTAATTGTCGAACCGGGTTGTACCCGTGTAGACACTGCAAACTTGACGTGGCAGCACCTTGAGAATGAGGCACAACAATGACACATTAATTTAGCAAAGGCAAACGAACATGCGTTGTGGAGATATCAATAAGTAAGCTGTTTCTCAAACTCAAAAGCTTGCAGTTAAGACGTGCTTAGAAGAACAAATAACCAAACTAAGTCAAGCATGTATGGGGAGACATTAACTTTTATTTATGCGGACTGGTGTCAATGCAATCGCTGACACGACTTACGTTGCTCCAGACTACCCGTTGTTTGAACGAACACAGTTTCTTTTGACGTTTTTACAAGTAAGTATTCGATGACACCTTTTTTGTGGGCATTCTGCATTTAACATGTAACATTTCACAGTGAACTAGGCCGAGGTCGGGTAAAACCTCCCGACTTTTTATGTCACTTACTCAAACAATATTTCTGAGGTTCTCATTTGTAAGTCAGCGGAATCATCAAGTGGGGTAGAAGCGTGAAAAACAAGTAGTTTATCCAACCCGTCAACCTCACTGCTGGTTCTAAGTTGAACATTACTGTGTAGGAGACCGATGAGATCCAATTTAGACGGATGTTTGGCAGTGAGATGTTGCCTCACAGAATATCTATCCTGAACGAGGATTTAACATAATTCTCGCTGTTGTGCCTCTATCACAATACTGCCGTACATGATGCCAACGCCGTTTCTCGACAGGCGGGCAAAGTAATAAAAGGCTTGGAGATGAGGTGGCAGTCAAAGAGAGTGGGACGAACCTGTACACCCATGTAACTGAATCCACGCCGCAGGCGGGGAGGATTAAAATGAGGGTAGCCCTCCGTTGTTGTGACGTTGATGCGCCAAATCGCCTTCCAGGCACGGTATAAATGCGGTGTCACTGGGTAGACCCCAGAATGGTGTGGAGCAACAGCATAACCCTCAGCAATCGGTAGATCTTTTTGCTAAACGAATTTATGTAAGTGGTGCAAATTAGAACAGAGTTGAATTGCGCAGTTGCACCTTTACCTTAGCGCGAGTGGAAAAAACAATTAAAACCGAAAATAGTTTGCTGGACTGAGCTAAAACCCATGAGTCGCGTAGTCTAGCCATCATGCATCAGAATTACGCATTAATATAAACCACCAGAGATCTTCTCCTCACTCAATTTAGGTCAAAATCAGTAAGCGACGGAAAAATTATTCTATGATTGAACCACGCATTATTCTAAACGTCTTCAAGTAACACTCAAGACGCAGGCAATAGTTAATTGCGGGGATGCCTTAATAATAAACAATGCCCTGCGTAAACCACAAAAGAGAAAAACTGAATTTGAGTTTTTGATGGCGAATCAAATAGGAATAAGGTAATTAAATTATGACATCTGAAGCTAGCTACAAAATTCACCCAAGGAAAAACAGTGTCCGTTGTAGGAGTTCTTGGGCGTTCGGGGAATACAAAAAGAGAGAAACGTAAAATCAAGGCAACCTAGACGCAAAGGCCTGTTTAGGAGGCCTTTGCGTCTGAGTTCTCTGGGGCTGAGATTCAAGATCTTTACACCTCAATGACCCCTCTCTGATACAGAATGTTCACTGCAGCATAGGGTTACGCGACGCACTCGGAGAATAATGAGAAGACTGGAATTGTGCACATATACACCTAAATGCACAGGTTCGGCGACACCAGCCTCAAAGATGCTCTACATAGTGAACCGATACAAATAAGTTTTCCACGTAGAGGATAACCAAGGTTGTAATAGTGCATTAATGCGTCAAGCAAAAGCGCTCTTACTTCAACACCCAATAGGAGGCATTTGAGGAAGCAGGAATTCTGTTCTGTTTTATAATGCAAGTCACCCTTATAAAAGTCCTTGCCAATTCCCCTTAAAAGGTAATCTATTTCGCTAAATGCGTTGTATTAAGCTAACATCCCCACCCTCCGCGAATGCACTGACACTGCAATGTAAACAAATGCAAATGGAGTCACAGGAGGCAGGGTCTACTGGCAGATTGCAGACGGAGATATCTTGCATAACATGCTTCATTGTAACGATGGGTGTCGACATTATAGACTAGCACTTGGGCATTTAAAATAACATTGACATTTACCTTCTTTACAACTTTAAATGCAATATATACACCATTTCCTGGAAGGGTTGGCTTGCACAGCTGTTTGCCTGTTCGTAGTAAGCATGAAGACGTGGCATTTAATCTCATACCGATGTGAGTACTGACAATGGAAGCATGATAGATAGGGCTTTATCAGGGTAATTTGAGGGTCAAATGTGAAAGATTTTGACTTATTTATCGACATATTATGGCTACAGTCTAATTAGAATGCAAACTGTATCATGAACAGCAGAATTTGACGTAGTGCTTAGGTAGAAATGCGATTACTTACTTTAATATGGACGTATAGAACCAGTAGTTATTTATGAACGCTGAAACACTTAACTGACCCATGGCTGCGTGGTACTGTTCAGCGGATATGGTGTCAAAAGCATGGTCACAAAGTATGCATCGAATATTATGCCATTTACTAGGAAAGACGTACCTCAGCAAAGACCTTGTTTAATCGAAGTTGTTCGAGCATTTTCTCTTCCGAAATTAAATGTGCACTACTGTGTGACCAAGTGTGACAGAACCACTTAAAATGGTGACGATAACCTAGAAAATATGAGTAAAAGCACTGAGTTGTACAGCGCATTTTACGCACTAATAGCACTAGCTGCACGGCTAATATCTACACTGACACTAGAAGCTCGCACAGCAATGGAAAGTGGAGTTGAAACTGATTGGACTATGGGGAAAGCTTTTCCAATTACCAAGATGCTCCGTCATCAAGGCTACACTGACCGTTCTTGTCGACGTGCCTGAAGACAGATGGTAAGGCATAAACTTCGGTATTAATTGTGTGGCTGGAAGTGAATTAAGGTGGGTGATAATCAATCCGCTGGAGGGAGTCCGCTCCCATAGCTATGCTAACTCCCTAATATTGGCCGCCAAAGTTTTGTTATTGCAAATACAGCCATTACATTCAGCAACAAAAAACCCTTGACGTCACAATTAAACCAATCCCAATTGCTCTATTCCTTTGCCCATCCTGAAGCAATTCTATTTACTCATCACTTCTGACTTTCAATGACACCACATCTGAATATACATGCTGATGCGTAGAATTACACTAGCGGATTTAAAGTTAGCCGTAATGAGTCTAATTGTCCGTACATTTTGCAAGACCCGCCTATGATCACCTTCCTAAATAACAGGAAAAATCCTGATTTTGTTTGGTCACATTTTACAAGTTGTACATAAATCTACCATTTTGGAAATTCATCGTTAATCTGGCTATTTAAAGATGACGTCATGCAAAAAAATTACCTACTACAAAGTATGAGGGTGAATGTAAGCACTTTATAAGACATACGAATGAGATCCTCGTCTCCTCGCTGCTCCTCGGGACTTCCATGCAGAAACCACTGGCCTGAAAATCCCAAGTAGAAAGTAAAACCAGGTATTATGTGTCTCCAACGCTTCTGGGTTTCAAGAAGAGCCTGAAATGGATAAAGCATGTTCAGTCCTTCGAAACACACACACACACACAATAATTCAAATGACATTTTGCCAACAATTGGACATATGGCCTTGGTCAGTGAACTTGCCTGACATCGAACGAAGTTAGAATGAAAAATTTGGTGAAGTAAAAGGGTTGATCCTGAAGTGTTAAAAATAGCCTGATATTGCAAATCAAGACGGCCACACCACTGCAATCCCTTAATATGTGATAGGTCAAGCGTTCAAACAAGTAAGTCACATAACATGGCCTACTGAAGAGTGCATGGAATAAGCTCTAATTTCAGATGGGGCGCAGATAGGGCAAGGGACCAAGCACAAGGTAGGTAGAATGCTCATTAAAACACTCAAAATTTCCACCAATGGTCAGATTCGATAGAAAGCCAAGTAACACAAAAGGGTAATTAACAGATAAAGCCAAATTTGGACAAGCACTACATGAGGGATTAGGATGGGGTAAAATGAACTAACTTTTACGTCAGTGGGAGTCATTCGCGATCCTTGACGCGCTACAAACACGTCGTCAATATCAACATGAATATATCGCAATAATCCGAGATCTAAAGGAATATAAAAAATTGGTTTAAAGAGCAATGTTAGGGTTAGAAGCCAAGATCTCTATTGAAACCTCGTCAGACACAGCTCGGACTACTTGTGGGAGCACGATATGTTGCGCATAAAACAGATAGCAGTATAGGAATGTCTCTTACACAAACCGTGTAATTTCAGGCTCCCTTACTGACGCATTTAATCCTCGCAAAAAATAGGCTGCAATTTTTATTAGAACATACCGGGTATGCCGGCATTCCACTAAAGCCAGAGTGCTCTACAACGAAATTGGACCACATTACCACACCTGAAACTATGGTGTGCGTAAAAACCACATACGGATAATTTCTTGGGATTTTTGCTTTTTTGTGAAATTCGCCCCCTTTCAATATCCGAGTAAGAAGCATGCAGGGTTTGCCCAACAAAATGACCTTAAGAGAACCTGACATGATCTAAATTTAACCAATAATTTACAAAGTTGCCTTCACATGAACCGGTGCTAGGAACAAACTGATCCAAACCACATAATCATTTCTTTCCCCAAGATCGGTAACACTGAACAACAAACACGGCAATTGTGTTAAGATACTTCTCTCTAGTTTCGGTCCCAGGTTTAACAATAAAAAATAGGAACAGATTCAGCACACATTAGAGACCTCTTTACCATATTCTAGAATGGCAGAAGGCTTGAGAAGGTAGTGGGTTGCGTCGCTTAGTAGAAGGGATGTGGACCAATGTTGCAATGGTGGGAAAGCAAAGAGAATTCGCTTGATGCCGTCTATTCTTCCAATGTCTTCAATGACTAGGCTCTGGTAGACTTCGCTGTTCTCATTTTTGCTAAGTTGGCCTGTACCATTCTAAAAAAACGAAGAAAATTTGAGTAATCATTGCAGACTCCAAGCTAAAATGTTAAACTCTTATCTTGCAGCTACCAGTCTTCAATCATCCCAAATAAACTACAAATGTGGTTAGACCCCCGGATTCATTATACATTAGTGGACTGTAGTTTGCCTAATTTGAAGTGTAGCGAAAGAGGGAACTTGTAGCAGTCGTAAGACACACATGGCGTACCCTAAAAGCACAGCTCCTCCATTCCAGCTCGATACCTTGTTTAACAGGCGTTTGAGTAAATGCAACAGTCTGAAAGTAGTTGGCATCCATGGGCGAGAGTGGTACAAAAGTGGCCCACGAACCCTTCCATGGTTTTTTATGTTCGTGTACTGTTTCTTCACCTCTCCTTATGACCGAATCAAAACCAGGGAGAAGATGAGTAAAATGTTGAACGACGGAGCTTGCGTCAGCAAGGAGTTGTGGGTAAGGATCGCGCCTTTGTACGAAACACCATGGTGAAGTGTGCTGCCAATCTCGACAAGGTGGTACTTGGTCCGACAAGGGCCTATAATCCATCTGACCAGCACGCGCCACGCGTAAGACTTCACTTTCATGTGATAAATAAAACCCTTTGGGGGAAGAGGAGGCAGGAAAACGACGAAGCAGAAGCGGATAACTAGGATCCATCTTCAAAGAAAAAAGCAATTCTACTTTACATAATGCTTTCAACACAACACAATCTAACCTATAGGAATTGAAAGCATCGCAGACATTGGCCTAGTCAAAAAAGAAGTTAAATTCGCTATAGGTATGTGTTATAATAAAGCATTCAGAATTTTGCAGATTTCAACTTGCTTTCTTAGCCAACTGAGGTGATAAGCATGCAAAATCAGTGAGAAGTCAACGCCGGAGGTGGTTGGAAGTAAAATATAATAAATCCGCCATTTGCTATTTCTGATTTTTTTCAGATGAAGCAACCAAAAGGCACTAACTTGAAGCATATTTGTTCAATCTTTGACGACCAAGTCATCATATCGATAAACTTAACTAAATAAGTTCATTTCTTGGTAAGATTGCACTGCATTTAAAAAAAATCACAGCCCAAATACAATACTCGAAATTCCTAAAATAAACATTGCTATTTAATAGATTATAAGTCTCAGGATTGAATGACAGGTTGTCAATTTGTTTAGATTAAAGTAGCTCAACGTACCTCAATGAAATCCGCACTGCCTGGAATTTCTTTCAGCGTCTCAACATTTTTAAAGAATCCAACAACACCGACATTGTGTTTTTTGCAATATTCATCAAGCTCACGTTTTGCCCTAGCAGGGAGACTAAAATAAACTAGAAAATCTTCAAAGACCAAAAGTTGAAAGGTCTGAGTGTGAATAAGCTCATGGATTTGAGAAAACAGCGCCAACGGCCGGACAGAGTAAGTGGTAAGACGAAGAGATTTGACGATATATGTGATGCGTTTGGCGTCTTCCGACTGTTGGACATCGGAACCGAGGACGATAAGTGCTAAAGGATGCATACTTCTTGTGTGGGACTGACTTTCGTTGATTCGTTGGGGAACATGGGTTCGAAGGTAATGCGGGACAGGCCTGAATCCTCGAGATGACGAATCGGTGAGTGAAAAGCGTCGAATAAAGCAAAAAATGCCCACAGCAGAAAAGAATAACAGCAATCGGTACCACTTTTTATTCAAAGAGAACAGTCTCAGAGAAAGTGGTAACATGTTGCTAAAAAGGAAAAAAATTAGATCGAAAACGAAACAATTTTCATGGCACAACACGGGAAAATCCATCTTGACCTTAAGCAACTTCGGAAAATTTAGACAAACGAAAGCACGCATAAATAACAGACTACTTCAAACCTAACCGCGGTTACAGATTCTTGGTTTATTTGGTAATTACTGTATCTAAACGCTCCTTTGTTTGTTGGCAGACTGAGATACACAAAATACGCAATCAGGGGCAATGTAGAATTGCCAAAACTATCAACTCGACAGTTTCTGTGTGGCACAAGTAGATACCTGATTGCGTACACCACACTTAACTCTTACTACAAGGATTAAAAGAACCAGTCTATATTGCCGTTAAAAAGTGATTGTGCGAAAGCTATTTTTGATTTAAACCAATTAGTAAAATAGAAGGACCTGAAGGCTAAAACGTACGCGAAGAACGGTAAATACCGCGAAAAATACAAATGATGGCGAGGTCGAATAAAGACCAACGGCAATGCCAAAAATGCCTTATTAAAACAAAAAAACCAATCCTTCAAAACCAATCCTTTAAAACCAATCCTTTAAATTAATTATTATCTAATGAATTATTTATAATTGAAAACCAATCGTAAAAAATTCTAAGAGGTACATAAAAAGCTTTGACATTTGTATTAAGGTTATCAATATATAAAGAGATAAGCAGACTTGAAAAATGAGGTGTGGAATGCAAAATTATGCTGCAACGCTTGCCTAACAATGCAGCTGAACTTATTGTCATCGTGTAATCCAGCAAAAGTTCCACGCAATTTTTATGAGCATTATGTTTAGGGATCTCTTTAAAATTCATTAAAACATTTCGAGAAGATAGGCACATTTCTCAAACAATACCTTGGACGAAGGCATTAGGCACCTTAAAAACCATGATTTCAGAATTATACCATAACTATGTTTTTAGGTTTCTGAAACGGTATAAGAACGGCTGCGCACTAGAGGCACGACGTAAGCAGTATTGGGTTGGACTGATCTCAATTTCACAAAACAGGGTCTCTACCTCAAAACGATCTTCAATCTACTTGAATAATTCTAGTCGTTTCAACTGTAGTTGTCTCAAAAACTAGGTCATTTCTATTACTGAATACTGCTTTAACCCCATTGGTGCGTCCATGGACAGGCTCCAGTAATAATTTTTGCATCGAATAGCATTGTATGACCACAACGAGCAGAATACAGTTCACAGATTATTTTGTCAAAAATAGGCAGCTTTCTTTAGCCGGCGATTTTAATAGTGCCTCCTCAACATCACTTGTCAATTGTGAGTTGATGGACACTCAACATTCTTTACTTGCATGTTTTCGCAGCGCAGATCCTTAAGAATGCTACATTCTTCCAAGCCGTGATAGCAAAAAGCTGCCATGTCTATAAGGAAGTGATACAAAAGGAGCAGCACAGCAACATCACTCTGTTTGCTTAATTAATATCCATCCTGTATTTGCTTACACTCATTCATATTTAATTTCAAATAAGTCCCTTTATTTAAAACGACATTTGGAGTGGTATCAAATATGTTAATAAGAAGCATACAAAACCTGCCTGTAATGTGGAGACAGCGTCGTTGTTAATAAATCCGCATCGGGGTTAGCTGAACGAATTCGGTAATAGCCTATTTTAGGCACTCGACGGATGTTTAGGCGGCTGA